ATCTGCAAGCTGGGGGTTAGCAGCATCTTTTAAAATCAACTTTATTGATATAAATTGTATAAATTTATATACAGTAAAATGCACCCTCTCTAAAAAAGTTTAACACTTCACACAGATTATATGGTTGTTTGACCACTACCACAGTCAAGATGTTAAACATCTCTTATAATCTGATGTTAAGCTAGAGAACTTCCTTCTTAGTGCACCAGCCCACAGGGTATAGAACCAAGCTGGCTCATCACCAGGACTCTGCTGGTTCTGGGGTGAAGCTGGATTTGCCATAATAACTTCAGCACTATTTCTTCTCATAGTGTCTTGAGCTCCTCTCTAGACATTTCTTAAATTATTTGGCCCATAAGTGGGAGGGGAGGGTGGATATTAATTGGAATTAATTAATATTAATAACCTGGAAAACTCTTTCAAATTCAGCATTTTAGTGATTGCCTACTGTTGCAAAAGAGCTAGACACGACTTAGTGACTAAAAACTGTTGAAAGATTGCTAACCTGTAGTAACAAAAATCTAGAAGATTGTGGCTACTGGTCTAATAAGTTCAGTAAGACCATACTTTACTGCTGATGTCCAGAAGTTCTAGAAACTTCTGTAATATTAATAGCCATGCCTCAAATGTCACTGAAGAGTAAAACATGAATAGTATTTATAAAATATGTTACCCTTACCTTTTAAAACTATTTGTACTTCGTTTGGCCTGATTTTTTTCCCCCCACCACAAAATTGATAGATTTGAGGGGACTGGGCACAAAAAATCCATTGAGAAACATGTTGTTGGAGAAGTATTCATTTTAATGCCCATGTTCTTCAGGTTATTGGCATCGGAGCAGGACAGCAGTCTCGTATACACTGCACACGCCTTGCAGGTGACAAGGCAAACTATTGGTGGCTTAGACATCACTCGCAAGTGCTTTCTATGAAGTTTAAAACTGGCGTGAAGAGAGCAGAAATCTCCAATGCCATCGATCAGTATGTTACTGGAACTATCGGCGAGGTAAAAGGGTTGTTATTGAGTGGGATTTACCCTTTCCTGTGTAACTGTCATCATCACTACAAAGAGAAAAGGTATCAGGTTGGCCAAAAAGTTTGTTTGGGTTTTTCTGTAAGATGTTATGGAAAAATTTGAATGAACTTTTTGGCCATCATATTTTTCTTGAGGCTTTATTAGATTGTCTAAAATTACTAATCTCAACAACCTCTGTCTCATTTACCTTTCTTTGGCATTCTTTATCCCTTTCTGACACCACAGATGATCTATCGTCTTAGATTATAGCCATTGGTTTAATTTTGTATACTTGTACCCCCTGCTGGTTTTAAGTTTTGATGGCAGGGACTGTTCTTCACCCCTCTTGGATGCATGTCACAATGCCAGGAATGTTGCTTGCTGTGTGATAGATGTGTATTCAACATTGCATACAGGTTACTTGATAGCAGGGAGCAAATGCCCCTCACATTCTCTAGAAACTCCATTAACAACTCAGTGTACTTGAGTTATTTTCATGTTCTTTAATGTTTTCTACCTTAAAGAAGGTATGAAGGAGCATTAAAATTATAGGTATTAGGTAGCCTGCTAAAAAAGTAGGACTTAGCCCAGTTTATGGAAATACAAATGCTTAATGGGTAATGGTTACAAAATAAAAATTAAGTTCTGGTCTTCTGAGGGGGCGAGTCAGCTCCACTAGGTTGTCCAGCCAGGGATAGGAATCCACAATGCAATCAACAAGTGTTGGAGAACATGCCTTGTAACCAGGAAGTGCTTCAAACAGTCTTTTTTAAAAATGATTTTAATACTTGATTTTTCTGCTTGATTAGTACACAGCAAATTGTGATCTAAGTCCTGGAAGAGGACTTACATATATGAATAAGAATAAAAGTAGATTGTAGAGTACTTTCCAACATTCTGATTTGTATCAGATAGTACTGAAAATGGTGTAATACTTGTCTTTCCCCTCTGCCCCTACTTACAGGGTGAAGATTTGATCAAGTGGAAGGCACTGTTTGAGGAGGTCCCTGAGTTGTTAACCGAGACAGAAAAAAAGGAATGGGTTGACAAACTTAAAGAAGTTTCCATCAGCTCTGATGCCTTCTTTCCTTTCCGAGACAATGTAGACAGAGCTAAAAGGGTAAGTATAAAGTTGGTGTGTGTTTGCATAGATTTGGTTATTATGTACCAACTATTTTAGAAATAGTGCTTCTGATTTTTTCAGTTCTATGAGTTATATGTAAGTTGTGATGATATGATGTATCAGCATAATAGCTAGAGAATTATTTGTTCCATTTGGTGTATGGATAGCCCAAATTCCGTTATTTTGCCTCTTTGAAAATGAATCGGTCTGCAATGTGAATTGTTGTTAGCTTACTCTCTTTACTAGGGCTGGCAGTGGTAGTGGTTGATTCTGGCATGTTTTGGCATGAGGTTGTATTTTGAAAGTCGGTCTCTGTCTTCCCCTCCCAGAGTGGTGTGGCCTACATCGCTGCCCCTTCCGGTTCTGCCGCTGACAAAGTTGTGATCGAGGCTTGCGATGAGTTGGGAATAATCCTTGCTCACACGAATCTCCGGCTCTTCCATCACTGACTTCATCAATACATTATTTTATACCTTGCCTATGTGTAGGTGAAAAATCATTTTGAAAATAACCTTTTTTAAAAGTAAAGCATTAAATTTTCATAATCTTTGGTCTATACTGTCTTAGTTATAGGCACTGTCTTGATTTTTGTAACTTAATAGTAAATAGTGAAATTGGGTAGTGTGAGTCCTTCACAGTAGTCTTTTGGAAGGAATTCTTGGCCATGTCCAGGTCCTTGGCATTTCCATATAAATTTTCGAATCAGCTAGTCTGTTTTTACAGTAAAAACCTCTTGAAATTTTAATTGGCATTGCACTGAATCTGTAGATCAGTTTTTGGAGAATTGACGTACCTCCTTCTTTCCCTTTGAAGGTTGATCCCCTCTGCTTCCCACCAGCTTTTGGTTGCTTTACAGGACCTTCAAATAGACCTTTTAAATATTTTTGTCCAGTGTTCATAATTATCTGCAGGTGGGTTAGTCCAAAAATTTACACCAATAAATATAATAATTTCTAATAATTGGTTTAGCTTAAATAGCTTCTATATTTCTAAGTCATTTCTAGCAAAGTATTTTTCCCCCCTAGGAATTTGACCGTTTTAAGTTTTCAAAATTGTTAATTAGCATATAGTTATAAGTAGTTTTCTGGTTTTTTAAAAGATCTTTATTATGGATGTTTGGGATGAACACAAAATAGTAAAATTCTGTGTATCTATAATATCTCATGACTGCTTGAGTTTTATCTACTTTTTCCCCACTTGCAATGCTTAAACACTGTTTTGAAGCAAAGTCTATATATATTTCATTTGTAAATATTTCAATCAGTTAATATAAAAATAAAGTAGAAAATAATTTTTAAAAGGGATATTCTCACACTTTAGAAAATACATGACTACTTCTATGACTGAGAGCACAAGAAGTATGACACCCCAGGGGCAGTGAACATGCTGCTGCTAAGGTCGTGGTTTCTAATGCCTCTATCTAAAAGGAGCCAGACTCCTTGAAGAAATAGCGTACTGCAGTCTGAGCAGAAAACCCATAACAAAACATCTGGATCCGTGAACAGTGTATTTGAGTTGGGGGAGCGTCTGGGGCCCAGGAAGAAAACATCAGCCCTCACTCGTGTGAACCGCCCACTGAGGGCAGCTTGTACCATCCTGGTAGCTCTAGGGGCAGCTTCTTACTCAAGCCCAGCCTTTGTCCCCTCCTCCAAGCAGGTCTTCAGTGCTTCCATTCTTGGACACTCTTAAAGCTCATTTTTGCTACACACCGTGCTAGGCACAAATTTACTTTAAAAAATAAACGTCATAAACCATGCTTGTGTGGAAAGTGCATTAAACATCTGTAGCTTGAAGAATCTTTTCTTTCTTTTCAGCCATGCAGTGTAGCTCGCAAGATCTTAGTGCCCTGACCAGGAATTGAATGTGGGCTCCAGCAGTGAAAGCGAAATGTTCTCTTAACTGCTGGATCACCAGGGAATTCCCAAGAGTCATTTTTAAATACATATATCACCATCAACGAGGTGAAAAAGAATTTTGCCAGCAGTTCCCCTGCCATTCCCCCTCCTCACATACCTGTTCTTGATTATGGTCTTTGCTTTCCTTCTAGGACACCACCTTTGGGCCGTTTATGATAGTCACTACCTTGTTTGATACTCACCAGTTTGGTGATCTTGGGGACATGTCTTGTGTTCGTTGCTCAGTCGTGTCCAACTCTTTGTGATCCCAAGGACTGTGAGCCAGCAGACTCTCTGTCCCTGGGGTTTTCCAGGCAAGAATACTGGAGTGGATTGCCATTTCCTCCTCCAGGAGATCTTACCAACCCAGGGGTCAACCCCATGTCTCCTACATTAGCAGGCAGATTCTTTACCAAGTCACCAGCCTCTTGGAATTTTGTTTTCTCATCTACAAAATGGAGATGGATTTGCTCTCAGAGAGGCTGAGTAGCTCCTGATTATTAGCACACAACCCAGGGTTAGTTTATCAGGTTCAGGTTCCAACTTTGTTAGTGACAACTTGTGTGACGTTAGGTGATTCACTTAGACTTTCTTCTTATAAAGTGATGTTGCAGTACACAGCTCTTAGGGTTGCCCGGAGGAGTAAATGGAACAAATGTTTAAGAGCACTTAGAACACCACCTGGGATGTGATAAATACTATTCATAAAACTACATATTGCTTTCATAATGCTTTTGTGTGTATGGAGCATAAAAGGTAATGGAAGATGATATTAACAATGATGGAAATTGGATTTTGCCTCAGTTTTTGAACTGGTAGCCAGAAAGTTTCTGAGTTCCTTCAATCTTTCATCTACTGTGTTTTCCCAAACCCCACTTCTTACAGATACCAAATTGGTTGGCTAGACCTGCACCAGGGTCCTAGCCCAGCCACGACCCCTTATCTGGGTCAGAGATGTTCTTTCTCTGATGGGATTCATGCAGCGAGTAGCAGAAACTGATGCTGAGATTAAAACAGCACAAACTTTATTCAATGGCCAAAGAATGGAGAAGCAGGAACCTAGTTTGCAGATCAACTTCTCAATCCAGTTCAGGTGGAGACACCAAATATATAGACGGTTCAAGGTAAAAGAGAGGGAATTGGAAAGAGGGGGAGGAATATTCGTGAGTTATCCAAGGACAGCACTCGTTTATGGAATTTTCCAGGCTCAGATACTGGAGTGGATAGCCATTCCATTCCCCAGGGGATCCTCCCAACCCAAGGATTGAACCCAGGTCTCCCGCATTGCAGGCAGATTCTTTACCAGCTGAGCCACCTGACCACCTGACCTGCCTCTTGAGAAATCTGTATGCAGGTCAGGAAGCAAAGATTAGAACTGGACACAGAACAACAGACTGGTTCCAAATAGGGAAAGGAGTATGTCAAGGCTGTATATTGTCACTCTGCTTAGTTTACTTATAGGCAGAGTATATCATGAAAAACTGGGCTGGATGAAGCACAAGCTGGAATCAAGATTGCCGGGGAAAATATCAGTAACCTCAGATATGCAGATGACACCACCCTTATGACAGAAAGTGAAGAACTAAAGAGCCCCTTGATGAAAGTGAAAGAGGAGAGTGAAAAAGTTGGCTTAAAACTCAGCATTCAGAAAACTAAGATCATGGCATCTGGTCCCCTCACTTCATGACAAATAGGGGGAAACAGTGGAAATAGTGGCAGACTTTATTTTGGGTGGCTCCAAAATCACTGCAGATGGTGATTGCCGCCATGAAATTAAAAGATGCTTACTCCTTGGAAGAAAAGTTATGACCAACCTAGACAGCATATTAAAAAGCAGAGATATTACTTTGCCAATAAAGGTCCGTCTAGTCAAAGCTATGGTTTTTCCAGTAATCATGTATGGATGTGAGAGTTGGACTATAAAGAAAGCTGAGCCCGGAAGAATTGATGCGTTTGAACTGCAGTGTTGAAGAAGACTCTTGAGAGTCCCTTGGACTGCAGGGAGATCCAACCAGTCAATCCTAAAGGAGATCAGTCCTGGGTGTTCATTGGAAGGACTGATGTTGAAGCTGAAACTCCAGTACTTTGGCCACCTGATGCAAAGAACGACTCATTGGAAAAGACCCTGATGCTGGGAAAGATTAAAAGCAGGAGAAGGGGATGACAGAGGATGAGATGGTTGGATAGCATCACCAACTCAATGGACATGAGTTTGAGTAAACTCTGGGAGTTGGTAATGGACAGGGAGGCCTGGTGTGCTGCAGCCCATGGGGTGGCAAAGAGTTGGACATGACTGAGCGACAGAACTGAACTGATCCAAGGACAAGGCTTTGGTTTGGATCTGGAGACCAATGCAACACCCCTTCTCAATCCTATGGGTGCTGGTGGGTGTGTCAGCATTTGCTAATATATTACAATTTTATTAGCATTTTGCAAGTCTCCAGGGCTAGTGGAAGTCAGATATGTCACCATCTTGGGCCTAGGTGACTCTAAACAGTTCTTGTTTTTTCTCTTTGCAACTTCCTTCTAAAACTTAGATAAGAGTAATTGGTCTCCATTTGAGGGAGGGGCAGGGATATGATTCTGGGGTGACAGCCTTGATAATATTACCAATATATTACCAATAATATTATTACCAATAACAAGATATTAAGGAGGCTTTCTGTAACTAAAGTGCCATTTTTTCCATTGAAATAAAATGCACATATAAAATTTATCATTTTAAACTTTAAAATTGTGCAAATCAGTGATCTTTAGTATATTCATAAAGTTGTAGAGCCATCACCACTATTTAATTCTAGAACATTTCCATCACCCCGAAAAGAAGGCACATTCTGATTGCCAACTATTTTCTATTCTCTCTCTCTGGTAACCATTAGTATACTCTCTGTCTCTATTAGCTTGCCTATTCTGGACATTGTGTATAAATGGAACCATACATCATGTGGTCCTTTGTGCCTGACTTCTTTCATTTAGCATGTTTTTAAGGTTCATGACATATTGTATATGAGTACTTCATTCCTTTTTATGATCCAGTAGTATTCCATTATTTGAATGTACCACATGTTGTTTTTTCATTCATCAGTTGATGGACATTTGAGTTGTTTCCACTGTTTGGATGAAAAACGGTGATATGAACATTTGTGTACAAGTTTTTATGTGAGCACATGTTTTCAGTTCTCTTGGGTATATACATAGGAGTAGAAATGCTGAGTCATGTGATAACCCAAAGGTTAGCTTTTTTTTCTAATTAATTAATTTATTTTTGGCTGGGTCTTTGTTACTGTGTGAGGGCTTCCTCCAGTTAAGAGTGCACGAGCTTCTCATTGCGGTGGCTTCTCATTGCAGCGCACAGGCTCTAGGGCGTGAGGGTTCATTGGTTGGGGTGCATGGCTTTAGTTGCCCCACGGTATATGGAGTCCTTCCAGACCTGGGATCACACTCATGTCCCCTGCATTGGCAGGAAGATTCTTAACCACTGGGCCATCAGAAAAATCTGATGATTTAGCTTTTTAAGGAACCACTACTGTTTTCCACAGCAGCTGCACTGTCTTTACTTTTCTATGAGCAGTGTATGTAAGGGTTCCAATTTCTCCACCAAAGTGACATGATCAGCACTTGGCTCCACATATTACAGCTAATGCAGAATTATACAGTGCAGCAGGTTTCATTGTAAAGTCCTGTCCAGCAGTCTCCTGGCAGAGACAGTGTTTCTTTCTGGAACTAAATGATGGTTTCCGAGGTAATGTGATGCAAAGAGCTCCCTGGGCGCATCCTTGGCCTGCGGTGTGTTTTCCCTAAGGCCAGTCTGCTGGGATGGTCAGCATCTGCAGGATGGGTGATTCCGACCCCAGCCCGTACAGGGTGCTGACAATCACCCTATGCTGGCCACCTCCAAACAACGTTAGTAACTTCAGGCCTTTGGAGGCTCCACACAAGAGCCATTTTAGGATAAATTTGGCTCCTAAGATTGCTAAAACTTTTAGTCTCTAAAGAGTAAGTAAAGAAGATTCAAGGAAATGTAAAACATGCTTTAATATCTCATACCTAACTTTACTGAGGAATGTTAAAAAATGAATTTCCCATTTGGGGCTTTCAATTGAAGCATCATTTCTCTTGCTATTTTATTACTTACAGTATTCTCTTCACTTCCTCTGTAATTTATATAGATTTTTGTTTGCAATTTAAATTGTGTCTATTTTAATGAGGATATGAAATAGGATGATATGGCAATGATAATAATTTCCTTCTCCAATATTACTGCCATATATACGCTTTAAAAATAACTTTCTTAGTCTGAAAAATCTAGGGCAAGGTCATTTTTGTGCTGTACCTGCTTTATCAGCCTATGTGGTTATCTTTAAATGTCCCCAAACATGAGAAGTCCCAAGAGTGATCTCTTTTTTTAATGGTTGAAATGTTATCTACTGAAAATCGGTTTTTTTAATTGGATCTTGCCACTTTTCCTACTACAGTAATGGGAGTTTACTGAATGGGAAGCAATTTCAGTACTTAAATGTGCTGATGTGTTGTTTCTTAATCACTTTAATGAGTTTCATACAACTAGAAATGGAATAGAATTTTCAATGGAAATATAATTAAATGGAAAAGTCACTTCCTATACTTGTAATTTCCACTTGATCATTTCTTTATTCACCTCCACAAAATATCTGCCTTACAGGCTTATGTCATCAGTGTTAGTCACTCAGTCATATCTGAATCTTTGTGTCCCCGTGGACGTAGCCCACCAGGCTCCTTTGTCCATGCAATTTCCAAGCAAGAATACTGAAGTGGGTTGCCATTTTCTTCAGGGGATCTTCCCAACCCGGGTCTCCTGCATTGCAGGCAAATTATTTTTTTGAGCCACCAAGGAATGTAGTGATATTGTTATACCCATTAACTTGCATAATTCACTCAGGTCATTAAAGCTGAAAACAACAAAAATACACGATAAGTTTTCTTACAAATCAAGTGCAGCAAGACAAAGTATAACTTCAGAACTGCAATTTTTCTTTTTTAAGTCTGATATATTTACAACTTTTATCTGATTTTGCTTGAATTGCCAATTTCTTGCCTATATCCAGATCGGTATTTTCATTATGCCTTTTCAATCTGGCCTACTTAAGACTGTTCTCAGGGGCAACAGTAACATAAGTCAGTAAAAACTGGAAAAGATCTTTTGGAATCCTTGTGTTTGAATGATTTTGCTGAAAAGCAGTAAACAAGAAAGTTTTACCTTTTTGCATTGTGTTACCAACACATAAAAGGCCAATGATTTTAATTTGTTCTGATTATCTAAATGTAGTTGCTGACTCACTATTGAAATAGCTTCATTTGTAAGTTTAGTATATTGCTTTTGAGAATCTAGCAGGCGTTTTGGGAAAGGTGGCACTTTTTTTAGTCTTAAATGTGGAACTTTCAGGTTTTATATTTTAATGTGAAAGTTGACAGGCTCACTATGCATTTAATTAATATAGTCCAGTTGGATTTACTTAAATGCACATTGGGAAAAATAGTTTTAGGCCTTTAATCAGATAAGTAGTTTAAAGCCAAGTCAGTCTCAACTGACTTTAATTTTTGACCATGCCAAGTGGCATATCAGATCTTAGTTCCCCAACTGGGGCTTGAACCTGCACCCCCTGCAGTGGGAGTGTGTCGTCTTAACCACTGCACAGCTAGGGAAGTCCCTCTTTTTTTTTTTAAAGTGATTTATTTATTTAGTTTTGTCTGCTTTCAGTCTTTCTAGTTGCAGAGAGTTGGGGGCTACTCTCTAGTTGAGGTGCTTGGGCTTCTCACTGCAGTGGCTTCCCTTGTGGAGCACGGTCTTTAGGGTTCATGGGCTTCAGCAGTTGCGGCCCAGTCTCCAGGACACAGGCTTCATAGTTGTGACGTGAGGACCTCATTGCTCTGCAGCATGTGGGATCTTCCTGGACCAGGGATAGAACCCATGTCCCCTGCATTGCAAGGCACGTTCTTAGCCACTGGACTGGGGAAGCCTCTTCCTTATTTTTTTAAATGCAAAGACTTTTCAACAGGATGGAGCTGAGGTGCAGACTTTCACTAGTGTGGTACCTGAGCCTCTTCACCTTAAAGATGGAGGCAACAGGCACTTTCTCTTTAGTGAGTCTACAGTGGGGTTTCCCCTTACACTGTGCGCAGATTTGTACTGGGTCACATTTCTCTCTCCATAAGCACTGATGAGTCACGTATGTGGGACAGTCATTTAATATCACTGATCTGTTCTTCCTGAATTTTTCCTTTCACATGT